TTTTGGTTAAATTGATTTTGCAGGATGATAAAGTTGTTGCATTTCGAGATATTAATCCCTCTGCCTTCAGGTTGTTCAAATTTTCATCAGTTTTTCATTGTTTCCTTTTGTTTTGACTTTACTGAATTTAGTATTTAGTTCAAGAGTGAATGATCAAAAATATGCTTAAAGTATCCTGGTTTTCTGAGTTTCATACTTTAACTATTAGGCCTGCTAGTTTCCTGGTAAACTATTATCAAATGCTTATTGAAATACACATCAACTATCAATTTCCTTTTCCTACATGAACGGTGGTGATTTTTCAGCTAGTGAAAGGAAACAACTGATAGCTGAGATATATTTTTGATAAATAGTTGATGATAGTTCAAGTAGAAAGAAAAGAACAATTGATAGTTGAGGTGTATTTTGATAAATAGTTGATGATAGTTCAGTTAGGAAAAGTGAACATTGCATAGTTCAAGTGCAAACCTCGATAAAACATGATCTTCGGGTGTGTTTCTGACCATTTAAGTCTTAATTCAATGAATCAATCTCAAACTAGTTGATGGCGGACTTAAAAATAATATGACTAACTCTCAGCTGACCATTTGGACCTTACTATGGCGTGGGAATCTCACAGTCAGGTCGCAGCATGGTAGTTGATTTCTTCTCATATGTCCAGTCCATGATAGACAGAGTTACTGGATACATGTGTTGGTGGGAGGTATCAAGTATCCTGTGGAATTAGTCGAGGTGTTCACAAACTGGTCCGGACAAAATGGTTATAAAAATAAAATTAGGAGTTTTGTATATAATCATTCAACTTATTGTAAATTATGATTCATTTTCTGGTGTTTTTTAGTTAATTGAGTAGCACAAGTGCTTTCCTGTGCACTACATTTTGTATGTTTTGGCTTAGTTGTTCATAGATTCGGTGAAATCATGTTTGCTGAGTTTTTTGTATTGCATTTTAACTAAGAACCTGATGAGTTTCATTCATATTGAATTATATTGGTGGAAGGACACAGAAATACTTAATTCCTCGGTTTGTAGTTCATAAATACTCTACAAGAGAATCATTTAGTGGTGGAATTTTTGCATAGACTGACATGTTAATGAATTCCCTTTTTCTTCCTCTTTATGTCAAACATGGGATATATAAATGCTAGCTAGTGCTAGGATGTAATGAAGAGCTATTTCCCAGCTTCAAGCCTTTGCCACTGTTAGCTTCACCCTTTGAAAACAAACAATTAGATACATCATTTAGCTGTACCGGAGTTCAATTTAGCAGGCTCAACTTACTTATCTCAAGTTGATAGAATGATTCTTTTGTAGTAAACTTTTACTTTCCTTGGTACTTGTATCAAGTCAAACTAAGTCATTAGAACGGGAGGGATGACTTATGGATCTTTAATGCCAAGCTAAGTCATTAGAAATGGAGGGAGGTCTAAGGGTGTGTTCAGTATGAAGAAAATGATTTCCAATTTTCCATGTTTGGTTGGTCAAATATTTTGAAAAACATAAACAAGCTCCTTAAAAATGTGGAAAATGACCTCTCTAGTGAAATTAGGGAAAACAAGCTCTACTGGTGACATTCGATATTGATCGGGTCCTCCCCACCCTCCAACACACCTCATCTTCACCCTAACCCCCCTAGTCCTCATCCTCACCATCTCACAGCCCTACCTCCCCACCTCCACTTTTCATAGTATTTGTCTAAATTATACACAATTGCTTTTAGGATATGCTTACCTACGGAACACAAGAAAATATGGAAGAAACCCACTTATTTTTCACGAAAACATTTTCCTTCATACTGAACACACCATAAATCACTATAAATGGAGGGAGGACTATGAATCTTGTACTTATCTTTAATAGTCATAATGCAGGCCTTCTGTTTGGCTCGTTATTTTTGGTCAGTGACTCAATCAAGTATTTTTAATCATGAGAAAGAAAAACAATATGTGGATAGTTTTGTATAATCTTATTTGTTCTCCATAATTTTTTAATACTTTCAGTTGGTATATTTATTTCTAGACAACGTAGTATTATGTCTTATCTAACATGGTACTTTGATATGCGATATCAGTCATCTAATTTTACTTCCGTTGCTGGCATAGAATGTGAATTTGCAAAATCCTTTGTAATGATCTCCTTTTAATACTCAAAATCTTGATAGGCATTACTTGGTAATTCCAAAACAGCACATTCCAACTGTGAAAAACCTTCAGCGAAGCTCAGACGACTTCTCCTTGGGTAAAGTATACTTATTGGATGCATTCTTATCACCTCATTTTCGTTTGGAATCCCGATACTGCCTTATTTCTCTGTATTCACACATCTAACTTGCAGCTTCTTTTCTTATAGTGAGTCACATGTTAGATGTGGGGAAGAGTCTGCTACATAGGGATGCACCTCAGTCAAAGCACTACAGGTATCGTCATTTAAACACATATACAGAAAGAAGGACTTGCATCTTCATTAGCTCTACCACATTCTATAATTTGTAGTATGTAGTAACATAACCACACATAATACTCCTGAATTTTCTTTTCAATCACTTTGCAGAATAAATGCAGGGATATAAAGCAATGTTAATTCAATAATTTAACGAACTTGTTTTGCAATTCTAGCTTTCTGCTTTATTTTCTGGCACTTGTATTGAATCAAGGGCCGATGAAGGAATACTTTTTACAATCTTTGCCGCTAGTTATAAGTACTGATTCGAGGCTACAACTAGAGAAGACAGCTGCAATGTTGTAGTTAATTTCTCTAGTTTACGAGTCATAACCAATACTCCTGCATATTTTGAAATATTCTCACACATTTCGGAATTTTAAGAATCTTAGTGTTACTTTATATTTTAGGATTCTTAACATAAAAACTTACACTTGGGGAGTAGGAATCCTTTTCACAACTATTTTTCCATGTTTTTAGATTTGGTTTCCATCAGCCTCCATTCAACAGTGTTGATCACCTCCACCTCCACTGCTTCGCACTTCCTTACACTCCAAGGTAATCTTTTCTCTTGATACTCTAGAATATTACCTTTTCGAAAGCTTTGAATTTCTTGGAAGTGTTGTATATTCCCTTTTCTAATTTTAGACATTGAACAGCTGGAGGTTTATGAAATACTTATCATTGGGGCCACTTGGTGGATTTATTGAAGTTGAAAAGCTATTGGAGAGAATAAATCCACAAATTATTTATCCCTCATCAATGTAATTGTTTGTGAATTTGAGGTTTCTAATTTTAAAATAATGGCAAAAGTGTAAGTAATCTGCTGATTGTTATTCATATATACTGTGTAAAATCTGGATTTTCCGTCATTAACCTTTTTATTGATCATGTTATGGAACCTTATTATTCAATCTTATTTCTTGATTGAAAATTCAATATTGGATGTGAGAATTTCCTGAAGTCCTCATTTGTTTTCTTTCATGCTTTGTACCTGAATTGTTGTCAAAATAATAGTCTCCACTGGGCATGAAAAAAATGCGTATCTGCATAACTTCTGTCTTCTCTCACCCGGGGTGTGAGTTAGTGGTCAGTGAAGTGGGTTGAGAATCATGAGGTCTCTGGATCAAATTCCAATAGAGACAAAAAGACTTGGTGATTTTTCTCATTTGTCATAGCCTACGTGGTACTTGGTGGTGGGAGTTGATAGGTATTCCGTAGAATTGGTCAAACTGACTCAAACATCATGTTTATCGATGGATTAACATACACAAACTCACAAAGAATGTTTAAAAGCTTGAATTCTTTTTTGTGACTTCTAAGCACCAAAATAGAAAACTACATTCATGAAAATACAATTACTGCTCACCAATCTTGTGAGGCCTAATCTGGCCAAGTTTTTTTGGCGGTAATATTTATTGCAACAAAAATATTTAGCGATAATTATGTCAATATTTTTGTATTCAGAATCATTAAAGCATTAATAACATTTATTTAGAGTTTTGATTATAACTAACCGTATTATATAATTGTCGTATGCCAAATAAAATTGACAAATGAAAGTGAATTTATCACCAAGACCGCACGACCCTATTCAGTGCATAAAAGATTTACACTACCAAATTATTAGTTAATAGAAATATAAATAATTTTTCAAAATAATAAAAAGGAATCCAGAGAAAATGACTTCTATAATGGGTGCTGCATTACACATTTGACACAACCTCAATTTACCTGAGGTTATATGATTAGATACAAATTTAAATTTATCACTAAATTTCACTTAAATACCTGAAATTAAATCATATTTTGATCGAACACTTACGCACATAATAAAGTATTTTTATTAAATATTTTCAATTGAAATTCAATTTATATATATATATATATATATATATATATATATGTTATTTTAGGTACTTTTAAATTTGATAACTTTTATTAATAAAATACATTAGCTTCAATAAATCGTGCTTATGATTTGCCATTTTAGAGATAGAAAGAGAAGACTGGGGTAGTTTGATTTGAATTCAAGTTATGATGGATTAATTATGATGGGATAAATTATGACGAGATTAGTTATGATGGGATAAATTATTATGAGACTATTTTTTATTGAGTATTTGGTTTGTTGTATTCAAAATAATAAATTTTAAGAACAATTTATTTGTTAACAAAAATACCCTTCATGAATGTAAAAAGTGATATAACAAAAGGGTTGAAAGAGACATTTTGTTATTTACTTATTTAATCCCGAAATAAGTTATCCCGGGATTACTATACCATCCAAGGAGAGGGATAGCTTATTTCAGTACTAATTATTAATCCCGGGATAAGTTATCTCGTACTTACCAACCAAACAACAAATTAAATGATACTACAATTTAATCTCATGACTATTTGATACTATCCTTCACACCAAACGATCACTCAGAGTTATACGGATCACCCCGAAATTATATTGTAATAATCAGTAAAGGAAGAACAAAAGCAAATCCAATTTTTTTTTAACATTTTTACTGATTCACTTTCTCAAGAAAAGAAAAAAAAGAGAAAAAGAGAAATGAGTAGTGCAGAAACAGAGCTTCTCACCGTCGATCCTCTTGAGCTCAAATTCGCATGTAATTTTTTTTATCCTTCTTCATCCTTTCTGTTTTCCCCATTTTTTTTTACAATTTTTTTTTTTTTTTTTTTTTTACAGTTGAGCTGAAGAAACAGATATCTTGTTCCCTTCAATTATCAAATAAAACTGAAAATCATGTCGCATTCAAGGTGCATTTTTCGTTCCTAATTTTGTCTTTATGATTTTTGAATTTTTGTTTCCATTTTTAAAAAAATAAATTGTGATATTTTGTTTTTCAGGTTAAAACGACGAATCCGAAAAAGTACTGTGTTCGTCCGAATACAGGCATTGTTTCGCCTCGATCCACTTGTGATGTCATCGGTATTCACAATATTATTTTTGTCTTATGTGATATTATTTCTTATTAGTTCGTTTTGAAAAGAATAATGTATTATTATATTTGAAAACAATTTATAGTAAAGTGGTTTTAGTATGCTGGATAAACATGTGTTTGGTTTACGTTTTAAGTTTATCATGGGATCGCCAATCTTGAATATCCCATCTTATCCCCACATGTGAGGTGAGATTCAAAGATTATATTTTTGGGCTGCGTAACAAATAACCCCTAACTTTTTATTTATTCATTTTTTAATAACATGTTTTTATTGTTGTAGAAATCTTTTTAAAAGTTTTTTTTTTTTAAACTTAAAAATCGTGTTCAGTCAAACTATGACGTATGAATTGGAGAGTATTTGATATTTTGATTGGTATATTTTTGTCCTTGTCCTTTAATGAATGCTCCTGGGATGAAAAACATTATAGTAGTATTTTAGGTATATTTAACTTTGAGTCAAAATGTTCTCTTTTTTCTTAAACTCTATATCCAGTTAGTCGTTAGACAATGTCAAATAAATTAGGATGGAGGGAGTATTGGAATAATCTCGTGCTCGGTCTAAATATATACTAGTATAGTAAGTAGAAAGATAGGTGAAAGAGCAAGAAAAGGAAGTCATTTATGGTAGTGATTCTTCTCATTTGTCCAAGTCTTGGTGGACACAGTTACTCGATACCTATACTGATGAGAGGTAGTAGGTATCCATTGGAATTAGTTGAGGCGTGTGCAGCTGGCATGGACACCATGACTAAAAACAAAGTAAAAAAAGAAGAAAATTCAAATCCGACAAAAAACTGTTTCTTATGCCTCAATCCCAAGTAAGTTGGATTGATGTATATGAATCCATACTGTCCATGTTGCTCCATATAAGCTCATCATGCACCTTAAAAGTTAACTTCAACTTATACTTCATCGGAAATTGAGATATTATTATAAGTATTCGTCCTGTACGGTCCTATTCAGCATCACATTATTTATCAGTGCCAGATTTTCGTTTATTAGTTGGCCGTTCATATTAGTTTATAACTTCTTGTAGTAACAATGCAAGCACAGAAGGAGGCCCCTGCTGACATGCAATGCAAGGACAAGTTTCTACTTCAGAGTGTCGTTGCAAGTGCTGTTACCAATCCAAAAGACATCACCCAAGAAATGGTAATCATACAAATGACTGCGTCTTTTTCTCTTCGTTTTCTAATGCCGAGTCTGTGAAGACAAGAAAAATGTACCTTTATTATCATATTGAGTAATGGTCAAAAACACACTATCACTACAAGTTGTTCCATTTTCCTACCTGAACTATCGTCATCTATGTATTAAAACACACCTCGAAGTTGATTAGGCCAAGCATCATTTGTTCCATTTTTCTACCTGAACCATCACCATACTCAATTAGGTGTGTTTTAATAAATGGTGATAGTTCAGGTAGGAAAAGGGAACGGTTGATAGTTGAGGTGTGGAACTCACGAAACAGTGATAGTTCAGATGTGTGTCTGACCATTATCTCTATCGTATTTAACTTACTCTATTGAAATGTTTGATTTTAGAAATGAATGATAAAAGCGCAGATCATGTTTTAGTTTGTTGTTGTTACACAACCATTTAAGCGTAGTGAAGTTTGTTGATCTCTTTGTAGTTCAATAAGGAGCCTGGACGTGTTGTAGAAGAGTGCAAATTGAAAGTGATTTATCTCCCCCCTCCTCAACCACCATCCCCCGTGGCAGAAGGATCAGAAGAGGGTTCTTCACCGAGACAGTCCTTGACAGAGAATGACAATCAAAATGGTTCTGAGGTTGTTTACTAAGTCGTTTAATTCTTATTTATCTCCTTTAATTATTTTTTCAGTCTTACTCTTAATGAAACTTGATTATTCATGAATGTCATTGCAGCTCACAAGAACATTTCTTGAAACTCATGACAAATCTACAGAGGTGAAATTTCTACTACAATTCCTATATTGTTCCTCACATTTATTTCCTATTTAAGGCAATAACATATGTGTATATCGTAGTTTCTTTCGTATGAATGTCAAGGTTTATATACGTTCTATATCTGTGTTATCTATGGATGTTACTATTTGCCAATGTTCACATGCGGTAAGCTAGTGTAGATTGACATGCACATATACTACATATCTTCCATGTTTCTAATGCTTGTTATTGTGAGTTATAAGTAATGAGTTCTGATCCCCACAACTTACTTTCCGATATAATCTGAGTGTTGCGTTATCCATTTCTCTCCTCGTTCTCTTAGTGGTCGTTTGGTTCGCAGACTAAGTTATTTGGGGACTAATGAAAAAGTGATGGCATTTTCCATGTCCTCAAACAAGTTGGGGCTTTTCCGCATAAAGCATTTGCAGTGCTGCTCTTAAATCATCGAACTTAGGATGTTTGCAGCTAATGATTTTATAAATATGCTTGGAAGGAGATGCAGTTTTTTTTTGGTCAACATAGCTAATGTAGACGTGTTATTTCAGGCAAAGTCTGTTATTTACAGATTGACGGAGGAGAAAGCTGGTGCTCTACATCAAAGCAACAGACTTCGTCAAGAATTGGTAAGGAGTTACATTACTTTCTTCGATTGATTCTCTTGTCTTCAGAACTCCAATACTTGTAGAAAGGCCGAGGTTTTGGTATATCTATGAGCAGTTTTGTACGCAAGTCGGGTTGGGCTGATTTTGCCTCCCTTACTACATATCAAGCAAATTATGATGGTTTATATTGTGTAGATTGATCATAAATTGACTAAACGTCTAAGCCTACTACTACTACTCCTATATCCGGCCTTGCGACCAGAAAATATGAGCAAGCTCACACAACCAGAATTGTCAGCTGAACTTGGGTAGAAATACAAATAGTCTGCTCTGTAACTTTTGCATTATGAGTGGTTATATTTTTTTATCATATATTGCTCAGACTCTCCAAAAAATGTTGTCGCCCCTATGTCAGATCCTCCAAAGCTCTACTACTTTTGGAGGATTCGACATGCAACGATCAACATTTTTGAAGAGTCTAAGCAACATAGCTTTTAGTTACAATGGCTTACTTCTGAAACACTATCTGTAGGAAATTATGAGGCGCGATATCAGCAAAAGCCGCAGTGGTGGTGTTTCGTTCAAGTTTGTCATCGTCATTGGCTTGATTGGTGTAGTTTTGGGCTACATTCTCAAAAGTTCATGAGCAATCACTATATATTCCATTGAAATGTTTGTTTCTCAACCTCAGAGAAGCATTGAGGAGTAAAAAAAGAGAGGCTAGCCAAATGATTGAAACAATATGATTTTGTCTTAGTTTAGCTGCACTTCCTTAGTAGGAAAAAAGTTGTAAAAGTGTCTGATTAGCTCAAAAAGAAGTTGCAACAACTTTAGTAACCAAGGATTATGGATGATAATTCTAGCTTGAATTTTTTTCACAATAACTTTGTATCTTCTCTTCTTTTTTTTTCTCATTCAATATCCGATTCCCACATTGGAGTTCGACTAAGTCTGAATTCACACCGAGAAGTTTCGATAAAGCATTCCTTAACATAGGCGAATAACTTTGTATATACTAGATTAGATAAAGTAGTCTAGTTTTTCAGCTTTGGTAGGCAGAGTTATCTATATAACTGTTGTATTTATGGGAGGTAAGGTATTTCATTGAATAGTTGTGGTGTAAGCAAATTAGTCCAAATATGATAATATGCCTCTGAAAATGAACTTTTAACAGGTAAAGAGCAAATGTAGCTAGTTTTGATAAGTAAAGGGTAAATATAATTCTAAAGTATAATCGGAAATGTATATTTGTTGAAAAAAATAGCATATTATATAAATAATAATAAAGGAACAAATATAATACTTTTTCAAAATTCAAAAGGTAAGCATTAAGGTATATTCTCATTTATTCTACCTATATATGACAACACTCTTTTTGAGAATATTTATCATCAAGATAAGTCTCAACCGTTTAATAATATTGTATTTGAATCAATTTACACAATTAATTTTATGAATAAATGTTATTTTCTATTGATACAAATATCAAGATAATCTTGTTTATCAATTAAGATTTGAACAAATAAAACGAAATCATCGAATAACTTTGTATATTTACAAAATTTTCCCTAAAATATAATCCATACAAAATAAAGATTGTTTGACTTTTATCCATGATTCTTGAAGCCCACGTATGCTCATATCTCTAAGCAACCACACACAAGTTTTTTTTTTCACAATATTTATATAAAAATAATTACTTACTTTTAAAGAATTTAGATAATGATAAAAAATTAGGCTACGTACATTATTTATACAGAGTCCAAAAAACAAAGCAAAAGCCAAAGTTCTGTTAATCATTCAATTCAATCAAACTACTACTATAATCTTCCCATCTTTTTTCCCTTTTTCTTGTTCAATCACTCAACCAAATAAAGGTATAATCTTTATTCCCTTTTTTGATACAATTTAATTTCTTTTAATTTTTTTCTCAATTTTTTTTTTGTGTAGTGTTGTATAGAACTGATTTGGGATTTTTAGGTCAAAATTGATTGATTTGAGTTCAAGATTCTTGCTTTATCAATTGGGTGTTTGTTTTTCTTCCTATTTCAGTTAATTTATTGTGTTATTTACTTTCTGGGGTTGTTTAATTTTTCTGTTGAAGTTTTTGGTTTCTGTTTACTAAAGAAAATATGGGGTTGTAGTTTATTTTTAAGGAATTGGATTATTTGGTATTGGGTATTTCAGTTTCACATAAAGATTTATGCTTTTTTTGCTTTTTGTTTTTTAAGCCAGGAGAATTAGGATTTGATGGTGTTATTAGCTTTATATCAGTTAAATCTTTTGTTAAGTTTTTAGGATCTGTTAATCTTTAGTTGTTGTTTTTTAACTTATTTAGTAGCATTAAATAGTATTCGCATAGTATCTTATTCTTCGATTTTTTGCTTGCTTTCAATTCTGCTTTGATTTGACTTTTTTTGAGTTGAGGGTCTATCGGAAACAACCACTTTACTTTACAAAGATAGGGATAAGGTGTGCGTACATTATATCCTCGCTATGCCAGACGTCACTTGTGGGATTACACGGGATATGTTGGTTGTTGTAATCTTTAATTGTTGTTCTTTTCCCTTTTTAGTAGCATTAGATAGTATTCGCATAGTATTGTATTCTTCAATTTTTGCTTTGTTTATCTTTCTTGCAATGTTGCTTTTGATTTCACTTCTTTTGAGCCGAGGGTCTATTGGGAAAAACCACTTTACCTCACAAAGATAGAGATAAGGTGTGCGTACATTCTATCCTCGTCAGACCCTACTTGTGGGATTACTTAGATATGTTATTGTTGTTGTTGTAGTAATCTTTAATTGTTGTTTTGCAAGGAAATATAGGTTGTAGTGTTTTGTTCTTTTTTTTTGTTGTTTGAACTGTTGAAGAAATCGGCTTTACTTAGATAAAGTGTTTTGCTTTTTTGATGGTTGAATTCAGGCAGATATATATAAATATGGCAAAGAGTTCGTTCAAGCAAGAACATGATCTTGGTTTGTATTGAACTTTTGTTTTGTGAATTTTTGCATAATGCTTTGTGATTAGGGTCATTATTGTTTTTTGACTCTGTTGTTTTGTACGTTGTGCAGAGAAGAGACGCGCTGAAGCTTCTAGGATTAGGGAAAAATACACAGATAGGATTCCGGTGAGAATTGAGTTTTCATTGGAAACTTTCGTTGCATTATACAAATTTTGTTTTTTTGGTTGTTGGTCACTTGGTTAGTTCTATTTGAATGTAATTACTTATGTGCTGTTTATGCTTGGTACATAATTATATGGAGTTCGAGTAAATTGGCAATCTGTGTTGCTATGAATCTCCGAAAATGTTGCTACACTGTCTGGTACTCTGAAAATGCACTACTTTTGGAGGATCCGACATGCATCCCGTGACATTTTTGAAGAGTCCGAGCAACATAGCTTGCAACTCTGTGTTATTCAACGTTATCTGATATAAACATAGATAAGATAGGTATACTGGTGGTAATAATGTTAACATTTGCACGTCGCATCAGGGAGTAAATTGAAATCTAACTCAGCAATCCGGTCACTCATTTGCTGATGCCAAACTGCATTTTGAATCAGAAAGGTGTAAATACACATTGAGCAAATACGCGATCACCATTGTTAAGAAACATGATTGCAAAATACAGGATCATCATTGTTAAGAAATACGATGCATTGCAAAATACATGATCATCATTGGTAATTTTTTTGTCTTAAGTAAAACAGGATTTAGCTTCTCATGTTTAGTGGATTAGCCAATTTGGCTCAAGTGTTGCTGCTTTAGTAATTTATTCTCTTCAAGTATCTTGTGGGCTGAAGTCTCATATATTCTCCGCGGCTTCTGTTGACTACGTTTATATGATGTGCAGGTAATAGTTGAAAAGGCTGAAAGGAGTGATATTCCCAACATTGACAAGAAAAAGTAAGCACTCATCAATATTTTTCTCATTATAATCAATCTAAAGATTTCTGTAAATCTTTGTGTTCCTATTTCGTTTGTTAGAACATTCCATTTTCATGAGCATATAATCACTTCCTCCTTGGCAAATGATGTTTTCCGAAACTTGAGTTACCTTCTCCTTGGCAAGGGTTCTTTAATATTTTTATCATAGCTTTTACTCTTCCATTTCTTTCAAATCATTTTCCAAAAAAATATTTTCTTGATGGAGAGGGGGAGTCGTGCCCATTCTCTATCTGGGCACGAGAGTCGAGTGTCTGTCAGAAACAACCTCTCTATCCCCACAAAGGTAGGGGTGAGGTATGTGTACGTTCACCCTCCTCACTTGTGGGAATTAGATATGGTGTTGTTAACTATTGTTGTCTTCACCACCAAACTAATACATAATATCTTGGTATCTAGTTTTGTAACTAGGAAAAAACCTTATTATTCATGTTTCCCCGATTGGCAAAATTGCAGGTATCTTGTCCCAGCTGACTTGACAGTAGGGCAGTTTGTGTATGTCATTCGCAAAAGGATTAAATTGAGTGCAGAAAAGGCAATTTTCATATTCGTCGACAATGTCTTACCACCCACAGGTGAGTGCTAATCTCCAAAATTATTAGTGCACCCGTGTTGAATCCTTTAAACATGCACTAGTTTGGGTGGTTTCGATATGCACCCCTCAGCATTTTTTGAAGAGTCTGAGCAACATAGATAAATAGTATTTCAGCAATTGCAAGTATTGAACTTCAGCATTTGAGATACTGGTGAAATATTTAGTAGGCGTTTGGACATAGATTTAGTTGATTTTTTTTTTTAAAAAAAGGAAGAGTTTTTGAAATTAAAACTGAAAATGATATTTGGAAGTTTGAAGTTGTGTTTGGACATGCATTTCCCTCGAAAGAAAATTAAGAATCTTGCCTTCAAGAACTGCCAAAAAAAGTTTTGCTTTTTCTTTTCTAGGTAAAAACTTTATATGTTCAAACTTCGTTTTGAAGACTGAAGAGTATTTCAATTGAAATAATGAGTTTTTGCTCACGAATCATCAGCGTTGAACTTCCAAAAGTATTTTTCGACTTTAACTTCAAATACTCTTTTCCCCAACTTAGACAAAATATTATCCAAACCTCTTTAGTCTAAATTGGGAAAGCTGATTCGCGCTTTGCAGGTGCAATCATGTCTTCCATCTATGACGAGAAGAAGGATGAAGACGGTTTCCTCTATGTTACCTACAGTGGAGAAAACACATTTGGGGACCTTAACTTAGTGTAGCTTTCATGGTATTGACATTGGATCATTTGCTTAAAGCTCTCAATTTCATCATCCATCGACAATGAAAATCACTTGCTGTTTCCATCTTATATAGGTTTTGTAAATAATAAGAAGTTGTGTATAGCTCATATCTATGTATAGTTCAAGAAAACAAGTATTAAAATCTTCTGGCAAGTGATTTTAATAAACAGTTGAATTCAGTCTCATTGACAATGGTGTTATTTTTCTGGAACAATTTCTTTAACTTACATGTATATACTGCATCATATGGTTTTGCTCCAAGAGTTGTTAGTTTATTCATTCTTCGCAAGGTCGCACTAAGACTAACCATTTGTGTAAAAATCTTGATAATCCAGCAAGGAAATGGTAAAATAGCAATAGCATTACAAATTTAATATCGATACAATTTCAAAACTCAAATCCAATGAAACCTATCTATCAAGAAAATACAATCATGTGATAAACCTTAAAAAAAAAAATCAAGTTGCTGGTTTTAAGGAGTTTCCTACTGGCACTGGCTTTTCAAGGAATGGGGTCAATTTAAGCACCGCTGCAGTTGACGATAAAAGGTTTAACAAACTTGATGAATTCTGAAGTCCTCATCCCCAGTTTAAGATCAATCTCACCGCCTCCCAACCAGAAGAAGTCAGGGTTGAGTTTGGCAATTGCTTCATCCAAGATCACCTGGTAAATTTAGTAGTATGAGTTGCAGTTGCAGTGACAATACTAGTACCACAATATTTTCATAATATGGTTAGGAGCCTAAGTGTTTGCCCCACCCAAGAGTGTGTCCTAGTGGTCATGAAGTGGTTGAGAGCGATGACATCTTATATTCAAATCCAACGGAGACAAAAGACACTAGGTGTACATCTCCAAGCCTTGGTGGAAAGTGTGACTTGATACTTATGTTGGTGGGAAGTAACGGGTACCCCATAGAGATAGTCGAGGTGCACACAAACTGGTAGGGTAAATAACATTTTTAAGCTCAAGGGGTAAAAAAAGATGTTTGAATTAAACTTCGAATGTTTATATGGTAGAATCATGACTTTGAAAGAAATCATCAAGAGAACATGAACTCAGCAAATCCACTTTTCAATTCATAGGTTTGCTTCTACCGATGAGAATCGTTTTCTTTAGTTGCTGACAATGTTTCAGTAGAACACTGAGAACATTGATCTTCTGACCAAGTTTCACCACATTTTTTTGAACCACAGTTCCCTAGGTACACTTTATATATTAACCTATGAAAAGGAGGGGGGGGGGGGGGGGGCACTAGGCAACCTTTAAACAAACGTTCCTAAAAAGCAGAGAGCGAATACCGGTATATCTGTTTTCATGCCAACACACGTAACTCCATTGTGTTCGAAACCAGTCAGTTTGATTGATGTCTCCTCGGGAGCAAGTCTCACTGCAAAAAGCAGACAATAGCAAATATTATTCTACATGAAGAGTACAACATAATGTGACTCCAAATATTGGCACAACTTGTAAACTTGGAGCATATATCTGTACATGTTTCTAACAAAACATCAACAACCAAAAATATAGTACTCTCTACATTGAAATTTGTTTGTCTAGTTTTGACTTGGCACAAAGTTTAAAAAGTAAAAAAGACTTTTGAATCTTGTAATTTTAGAAACTAAAGAAACGTAGAATGTATCAATATGTTTTTTAATCTTGTGGTCTTAAATATGTCATGTGGAAAGTTGAAACATATACTTCAATCAACAAGCATATGCAATACAAATAAGCGTGTCTCATATATGTTATTGATTGCTTCTTTACACTTTAACATAACACATACTTTGAATATGCAATTTACATATGCAGATTCATTTATGGTATTGATTTTGTTTGTATAAACATCAAACATTACCTGAGTAGAGGGGATTGGATGTAGAGGATTTCTATAGCCAACCCCAACTAATTTGGATTGAGGCACTGTTGATTCCTTGATTGATACATCAAAAGCCTACACAACTAATATGGTCTCTTCTGCAAAGTCTTTTTTTGGTATGATCAAATTAACACTTCTAATTCGATATTTTCATACAGGGTTAAGATTTTCCAATTCAATTTTCATTCAATCACTTTAACTGCTAGACCTAATGAATTTGCTGTTTAGAGAAGGAACTTACTGTTGAATTTCTTTTTGGGTATCTTGCCATCGTTGAGTGTGTATAGGAAATTCTTCACAGTCTCAGCATTGAATCTAGCAGTATACTGCAATTATGATAGTAAACAAAGAACGTTAGATTAGTAGTACATACTATTTCTAGACGTCAAAACAGAATTGAAGTTGCATATTAGTTACCTGTACAACTACAACATAGTACTTTGAATTGTTACGATCACTACAATCAGTAATATTAGATGGGGCTTGAGTATTTACCTGCATTTGAGCAGACAAATTTGACTAAGATAGGAAAGAGTCCCTTCTAAAGAGACACCGAGATATTTCAAAGTTAAAAGCACATACAACAACAACATACCCAGAGTAATTCCCACAAGTTGGGTTTTGGGGAGGGTAGAGTGTACCCTCACACATACACACTCGAATTCAACAAAAAACAAAGGAAAAGTACAATGAAATTTTGTTTGAGAATTTCAACACGAGAATTTCATGTATTGAATTGCACAAGTACAATGAAATTTTGTTTGAGATAACTGTGGTTGTTCTCATAACCATTTTTCCAACTTACCCAAAAATGCAAAACCATTAAATTACTCAAGCCTTAAACTTTGATGTGATTTTTCTTCGACAAGCTAACTTTTAAACTATTGTTTTACTGCTTTCTTCCTCTACCACTAATATACACAAGTCGAAATGAATATCTTAAACATTGTGCCCAATCAAACACCGTTATAAATTGAAACAGATGATCTATTAATTTTGTTTTGATGATATGATATGTCCTTCTGCACACTGAGAGATTTTAAGCTTTTTCTTTTCTCCTAAAAGTTAAGTAAAGGCTTAACCATCGACAGCCTCTTAAACTTGTTTAATGTCATTAAGACGCTTGAACTATGACTTGTTGAAATTGAGAATCTAAACACATGATAGAGTGTTCCTATTAGACACTTTCAATTTGAACTTTTCGCATGCTATCAAGAGTCTATTAGGTAGTTAAGATATAATCTGTCATCTTCTTTAATTATGCACATCAACCTCAATTCAAATAGACCTTAGGTTTTACTGCTTGAGTGGTTAACTTATCTACCTAACCTAATGAATACTTGAGAACATCCTAAAAGCAAATAGAAAATGTCCAATAGATAAACCGTATCAATTGTTCAGATGCTCAATCAGAATTTACTGACTAATTTAAGGGACTGTATTAGTCCTAATACTATTGCGAAATTAATACCAAATGCTTGTATTAAGACATGAAAATGAAGATAGATAGGAGGTACCAGAACAATGCTTTTGCAGAGATGGTGAATGGATGCAGCGCCGAGAACATCACGACGAGCTTCGAGAGGCCAATCATAGTAATCAGAGGCAACGCGCTTGAAGCAGAAATCTCTGACGCCATTCCCGAGGAGAATGGAGGACAGGCGGTCCTCGGTGGTGGTGTCGTCGGCGACGGCGGTACTGGCGGCGGAGAGAGGAGAATCGCAGGTAGGAAGAAGAGAGAGCTCGAGGTTTGTTATTCGTTGGAGGATTCGGGTCTGGATTCGCTCCAAATCTGCTAATGACTCCATTGCCCCCTCAACTCTTACCCTTTGGTACTTGTGGCGATTGGACTAGAAAATGTTTCTGTTTTTACGATTACTATTGCTCCGAAATATGGCTCCAATATGAATATCCGACATCAGGTAGAAAATCAAAAAGAAAGAGTAGTGTGCTCTAGAATATCCGACATCAAGTAGAAAATTGAAAAGAAAGAGTAGTGTGACTCTAGGTAACGCCTAGTTTAGTGTGGTATCTTGGTTCCACTTTCTCCTTATCAAGTTTTTGTTTTTTATCTCTCCGAATCTTTAGTTCGTTATTTTCACTAGCTAGGCAAGCCATATTCAATTGTTTTGCACATTGGTTCAATTCTACCTTTCACGTTCAAGGTTCAACCTTCCTTCATTATAAGGCTTAACTTTGCTAAACTTGCATATACCTTAAATATTAGATTAGCTTATTCACGAAAGATTATTGACATGTCTAGAATAACACATATCTTTTTCTTAAAAAGCAATTGACTACTAATCATGTTTCTGTTCACATGAGCGCAAAAATTATTTAGAAAACATGAATTATTCTCATGAATAGACGTTTTTTTATATTATGTTATACTAAATAAAGAAAATACTTTGAAATTAGCCTGCATAAACTAATTACAGTATGAAAAAACAGGAGTCAGGCTGCTTCACAAATAGTCTTTGCTCAAGCATTTCACACTAAGCTAATTTTTATTCATCCGTCCAAGTATTGATGGACATATTTACAAAAGGTAACAAATATTCAAAGATAATATATGTTTCGAACTGGTTTTTCTAAATTTGGAAAAAGACTCTAGTTACGATTCGTTCACGAAAAGTCCATACTTCGTAAAAGGTAACAAACTCTTCCATAGATTTTAGTTGAATCCAAGTTAAACGACATATTTATGTATTATACTCAAGAACAGATAATCCATTCATTTAAAAAGAATGATTTACTTTCTTTCTAGTCTTTTTTTAAAAGAATGACCCTTTCCTTTTTTTCTTTTAACAACACTTTAATTTCAGCTTTCTATCTAGCATATTTAGATCACAAAATTAAAAACATTTTCATATATTTGACATAACTTATATTTAAGACCACAAGATTGAAAAGAGCGTGATCATTTTTTCCGAAGTCTTGCAAAGACCATTCAAAAAATGCCATGTTGTCAACTTTTCATCACTTTATTCCCATTTCCAAGTCAGTGTGTTACCCAATCTCCTCCATACTTATCATAATCGCATCAACCTCTCTAATAAAATTCCATATTTTCAGTTTCACAGAAAATCAACAACACATTTTTTGATCAACTATGTCATCATCATCTCCATTAAGCCTTGATGGTCTAGACCTAAACCAAGTTTTCTTCAAATCAATCTCCAACGCTGATCCGCCATCACAGACGAACCACCACACGAAGATCTCCGTGATCGGCGTCGGCAATGTCGGGATGGCCATCGCCCAAACAATCCTTACTCAGGATCTCGTCGACGAGCTAGCACTCGTCGACGTAAATTCTGATAAATTACGCGGCGAGATGTTGGATCTCCAACATGCCGCCGCGTTCCTTCCGAGAACTAAAATCGTTGCTTCGGTTGACTATACAGTTACGGCCGGGTCGGATCTGTGTATTGTCACGGCGGGTGCTAGGCAGAACCCGGGGGAGAGCAGGTTGAATTTGTTGCAGAGGAATTTGGCGATGTATAAAAGTATTGTGCCGGAGCTGGTGAAGTATTCGCCGGAGTGTATATTGTTGATTGTGTCGAATCCGGTGGATGTTTTGACCTATGTTGCTTGGAAGTTGTCTGGGTTCCCAGTGAATCGGGTTATCGGGTCGGGTACGAACTTGGATTCGTCCAGGTTTCGGTTTTTGATTGCTGATCACCTTGATGTTAATGCCCAGGATGTGCAGGTGAGTTCATCATTTTCGTATTTCGTTTAAATTTGTCTTTTTGAATAACTGATACCATGTGATTATTGAGGTTGCGAGTTTCAGCCGTGGAAATGAATGTAAGTTAAGTTGCATAAAACAGACACGACACACTTGTGGTTTGGCCCTTCTCTGGACTCATGCATAGTGGCAGCTTAGTGTATCGGGTGTCTTTTTTTCCCTTTTGTCTTTCTGATCTTTGGGTCCACTTTTGAATGTGATCATATAAACAATCAATATATTTAAGATTAACAGAAACTATACATCATTTATATAACATAAAATTCAAGTATAATTTGAAAAATTTATAACCAAATATGAAGTTATTTGATTTGTTTCGTATAAAAAAGATATGTACATACAATAACAACATACTCGGTATAATCCCATTAGTGAGGTATGAAGATGTTAAAATGTTCGCAGAGCTTACCTCTATTTTTGTCGGGTAGAGCAACTGTTTCCGATAAACCCTTCAAAAGCAGTTTAAAGTTCAGTGGGGACAGAACAGGATTCAATTTGTCATTATGATGTTGGTCCCTTAGCATTTGAAGTGTTGTTCCTAACCATAGACATAGACAGTATTCATACAAATTGTGTCACCAAGTTTGTTTTTTTCTTCTTAAGCTAATTTCAAAAAGGGGAAGTAAAAAAAATTCTATTTTACTTGTTTAATTTGCATATTGAAGAGGAACCGTAACCGTAACAGTTACTAACATTTGACATCATTATCCTGAAATTAGGGTGGTTCAAAATCGAACCATACAGATTAGCCAATCGCAAAATTGGCTAATTGGTATTGGGTTAATGAATGATAAATAGATTAAATTTCATAGTTAACGGTTTATCGGTGCGGGAGCGAATTACTCAATTTTTTTACTGGCTAAACCGTTGAGAATTATTTTAATTACATTTTTATCATAAATATATTTGTTAAAAGAATGATTATGGGCACCCACCCTCAAAATTTAAACTATCATATATTTCTCACTATGATTTATAATTACAAAATTACCAGCTTAAGTAGATTTAAAAAAAATTGTTATGTTTGATTGAAGATCAATATGTTGGTGAGTGAAAGTGAAAGAAGGTAGCATGAAATGGTTGAGCCAATACACAGTCTGATAACCGTCCATTAATTACTAACCCAATATCAAACCAACCAATAACTTAGGCTAGGGGATTAGTATATTTAAAAATCGATATCCAATAAACCAAACTGTTAAGCATAATTATCCGTCCAGTAATCAGCCCTAATCCTCAGTACTTGATTGCGACTTATTGGGTATATTTGAGCTATATACTGGTATTCAACTCTATTTTCTGCTGTCTGATCATTAGTTTTTAATGGCTTATAATATGTTTGTATTGAACTTAAAAGATTGTTTATCATTCGTAGAGGATTCTCTACTTTTTGGTATACAGGAAATATTTCAATATAATGAAAAATGAACTTTTGTGTATACTAGGCATACATTGTAGGTGAGCATGGTGACAGCTCTGTGGCACTGTGGTCTAGTATTAGCGTTGGAGGGATTCCGGTTCTTAGCTTTCTGGAGAGGCAACAAATTGCGTTTGAGAAGGATACATTGGAAAAAATCCATAAACAAGTTGTGCAGAGTGCATATGAAGTGATCAATCTCAAAGGCTACACATCGTGGGCAATCGGATACTCTGTGGCTAACTTGGCTTTTTCAATTATTCGAGATCAGAGAAGGATTCACCCCGTCTCAATCCTTGTGAAGGGGTTCTATGGTATTGATGGCGGTGATGTTTTCTTGAGCTTGCCTGCACAGCTTGGTAGAAGTGGAGTTTTAGGTGTGACTAATGTGCATCTTACTGATGAGGAAATTCAGCAACTTAGGAACTCTGCTGAGACTATCTTAGAAGTGCAAAACCAGTTGGGAATTTAACTTGGTTAAAGTTAATAACTTCCCCTTCAAAAATGTCATTGGATGCGTGTTGGATCTTTCAAAAGTAATGCAGTTTTGGAGAATTCGAGCGACATAGCTTCCCTTTGTTACCACTACCTAGTAGTATTGTTGTTTTACCATCTAATGTATTTGAATTTTCTTTTATTGCAAGATGTTTTCTTAGGAGGAAAAAAAATGAGATGACTTGTGTTGCATCAGTTGGTCCTTGGCATGATGGCTGCTTACTTGTGCTGTGTTGTACTAATTTTGGAACATACAGTAAATGTAAAATTTGATGCCAGCTCTTGTAAAAATGGAGTTTCATGTGTAAATTTGTTTGTATTTTCTTACTTAGGGCAGTTTTGGCCCTTTTACCTGAGGTTCTATTGGATTCCAATCTTTGTGCCTTCACAAGGTAGGAATGAAGTCTGTGTATACATCACTCTTTCCAGACCTCGTTTGTGGAATTACATTGAGTATGTTATTGTTGTTGGTAGTTTAGGCCTTTTTGGGCCAATTCCAGCACCCGTCAACTATTCTATTTATTTATTTATGGTTCTGCCGTGAGCATGTAAAATGACACTTAAACTTGCACTTGTACGAAATTTTAAATATAGAAATGTGGCATTCCCCTTCGACGAAGTATGCCACATAAATTGAGACGAGGGAGTAATATATCACTCAAGAAAAAATCATGCTCTTAATGAAAGATTTATATACACAATACAAGAACAAATGATGAGAACTAAATACAAAAAATTCGACATAAAGGCCATTTGTGCAAAATGTCCCTAAGAATTCAAGGCCCATTATTACGAGTTCCAAATGGGCCATTGGACCCAGAAAGGTAACCTAAGCCATAAAGGACAGGCAAAATAAATGGGCTGCTACGTTCATAACAAGGACATAAGTCCATTGAACCTGCATATCATATTTGGGGAAACTAAGCAAATACTTCATAAATGCAAATTAATTACAAACATATATCCCTTACACTGATACCTCACTAAACAATTACAAAAAATGCCCCAACTAATAATTCGCTTAACTGATACTAAATCAGTATATATATATATATATATATATATATATCCACACTGTTGTGGTATCATTAAAACTGGTAATTTCGCTTAACTAATATTAAATCAGTCTATATATAATGTTGTGGTATCAGTAAGACTGATAATTTCACTTAACTGATATTATATATTGTTGTGGTATTATG